GGCTGATTATGACCGGACTTTCAGTAAAAGCTAGCTGACATAGACGGGTATATTTTATCTTAATATTGCGTGGACGAAATCGCGGGCAACAGCTAGTGACTAAACTAAATTAAATTTGTTTGATCGTGTACTTGTCTTATATATTTATATTTTTGAATCAGTACATATTTATAAAGACGTGTCAGCATTATATGAACATGCGTAATTGTCATATACTATAGGAATTTGTAAAAAGGTAAAATCTATTTAGTACAACCGCTTTATGTCTAGTCCATTTTTATATAGTCAAAGTGATAAGTTCGTCTATCCGCTTATGACCACGGTAGCTTAAAAGACTTATAAATACTGAAGGACTTACTAAATAGAGTACATTTTTACCTGACTATATTCAGCAAACACATTTGGCACTGTCAAGGCAAATTGCGCCATTTCTGAAATTATTGCTTCGAGTACGTATTTGTCGAAAACTTACCTAAGAGTTATGAAAGTAATAGAATTGTCATATTTTACATTAATTTATCAACAAATTTCAGAAAAAAAAAATATTTAAAATATATCTCACTATAAATTGATGCGATATTGGAAATAAAAAAATCAGAAAAAAAAATTTAACCCAATCCTTAAAAGAGAGCTAAAGTATTAACAGATTATTACTTTAGTTGTGACGTAATGTATTTTTACTATTATTTTAACATTTTACTTTGATAAAAAAACTTGATTAAATACTCTTCACAAGATTCAGTTGAGTTATTTTTATTTGCAAAATATTCCTGCCCTGTCTATTATCTTCACAACTCAATGGAATGCAAATATTTAATATGACATTTTCATACATAGGAAAGTTTTTACGATCTCGCGATATTGCTAGACGATGTGATATACGACAGAGTCTCTTTTATAAAATAACCGTACTAAATATGGACAACATCTTTGTTTATATATGTTAGTTGTTTATCTATACTATTATAATAAAGCGTAAACACACACTTCTTTGTTGCTTAAGATGTCAGCAATTACAGCATATTTTTGAATAATTCTTTTTTTAATAAAAAGCCCTACACTTACGTCACGCTCTAGGCTATATATTTTCACGCCATTAAACTTAGGGGACAAATATTTTGGATAAAAACTCAAATGTGGGAAAGAGACCATAAGTTGCTGCCAACATCAAGGAACCAAGGTTGCCATGGTTTGTCATGTCATGTCATTTTGACATTTGCAATTGATAATTTGACACATGTAAATAACAAAATAAAATTTTCATAATTTTATGCGGATGAAGTCGCACGGGAATAGTATATGTTGGAAAATGTCTAAATACCTATCTTTTTCTTTAAAAAACTAACCGCAATTCATCATCATCATCATCATCGGCTCTTTTTATTTCTTCACTGAGGAGCTCGGAGCCCTACCTTAATTTAGGGTGACTAGGCCTTAGTCACGCTGGTCAGGTACGATTTGATTAACTTCACACATTTCTTTGAATTTCTTCGCAGATATGTTTTAGATTCAATGTTTTCCTTCACCGTAAGAACGACAGGTAAATGATGTATGTGAAATTCGAAAATCAAATTGGTACGGCGGAATTCGAACCCATAACCTGTGTGAACCGCAGTTAAGTAATAATGAATATATGCTCGCCTGTACAACCAACGCTCAATATGTATTTTTTTTGTGATTGTTTTCCTTGTGTACAAAGTGTAAATAAATAAATAAATAAATGAATCAAAGATATTAAATGTATTTTAATAAAGTATATACACGGGAATAAGCCAGTAAAATGGAAAAGTAGCTTGCATGCTAATTTCTGGTCAGATATGGTATTCCAGTTACCGTTAACACATGCCTCTGCCATGCTAGTGTGCGTATAACTGTCATGTGTACTCCAGCTTTTATTCTTCAAGGCTTCGCTCGAGATATATTTTGCCAACATTGAATTTTTTAAATAGAAGAAACGGACAAAATTCTTCCTTTGTTTTCCGTTTAACAAATGTCGCGACGGACCGTTATCACGAGCGACTCGCCTCCGCGAAATCGTTTTCAATTTGTTTTCACGTATTTTTTCCTCATTCATCCGTTTCTTGAGAATGTTTTGTTCCTTTGAAATTTCGTTATTCTCTTCAAATGTTCTGTGTTTAATCCAAATAACGGATTCAGTCATGCGATGTGTTTGTGAGATGAGAGGTTTCTATTTATCTCGACATACTAGTCCTTACAAGCTATCGAAATCGTTGTAGTTAAAATTTTTAATAGTTTTAGCGACTGGCCATTACAATGTCGTAAATCCAATAATTTTATAACTAAAACAAAGATCGATGAAAAAATTAATTGAAGATGCCTATTGTTACGCCAGAGCTTAAACTTTTTATTAAATTTTTGCTGGAACAGCGTTGTTAATTTGTTTTTCTAAGAACTGAGGACTCAGCACAATGTGTGAGGAAATACTCTTAACGTCGTTAACAACATTTGTATTAGAACCATACAGCGTCCCTATCGGGGATAAAGTCCACTAACAGACTTTAACAATGTTGTCAATGATACGAATACTATTTCGCGAATGTCCGTGTTAGGCCCCTATAAAATTATCCTTTATCAAGAAGAAGTAGTTACTTAAGTAGTTTTGGCTCAAAAAACTCAAACATTATTTAATTTGTCAAATGAAAATGTAATAAAACGTCGCGATACGTGATGGTATTAAATATTTGGCGAAAGCCCTTCACCGACCACTCCTGGGAAATTAAATCTACGGACAAACGACAAATGTGATGGCTGTACAATTTGTAGACAAAGTGGAATTACTAATTCGAAATCATATCACTTTAGGAAACATTCGTCTAGCAAACCTTCTACGAATTTGATAATTTAATTTTACAAATAAATACTAATATTTTATTTTACTTCTCATTTATATTATAAATACGAAAGTTAAGATGGATGGATGTTTGTAGCCTAAACCACTAACATGGCATAGATGTAAGGATAGTCAGGAAGAACACGCAGTCTAAGTTTTTTTATTCCATGCATACGGATTCGCGGGCGAAAGCTAGTATTCAAGTAATTTAATCAATGTGGTTTCGTAATGTTTCAACTATGATAGAGTATATTTTAGGATATTGTTAAGCCTGGTAATGCGTCGGTTAATGATAAACTAATTGAACACGTTTATTTCCTTACTAGCTTTCGTGTCTCAGTTATCGTAGAATTAAAAAAAAAACAAAGGTAACTTATGTGACTCCACCCCACATCTATGCCAAATTTCATCGAGATTCGTTCAGCCTTTAAGCTACAAACTCTAACAAACATCCATCCATCTAAACTTTCGCATTTATAATATTAGCAAGATTATATGTAATCTAATCGTAATATTTCGATGCAAATTTCTATAAAATGACGTATACGTCTATTGGATTGTATTGGATATTCGAATACAATACCAAAGTTATATTTTATTGTGAACGATATCGGTCCACTGCCCTTGTATCGATAGATAATAGTAGACTGTAATCAATAGATAATACCAAAATAAGATAAGGTGTTCAAGTTTATTATAACCGTATATGTGATTCGTAGTGGACGGATTCGATTCAAAATGAGTTTTAAATATTACTTCGAGAGAACATTGGGTTGGATGTTGAACAATAAAATTATCGTCTTACTCAGTCTGTTATCCTTCTGTTTGTTTGTTTCGACGTTAGCGATTGCCGGACAAAGGAATAGATTGAGTAGAGAAATAGCGGATTTAACTTCAACACCACCGACAGCTGCGACAACTATACAACAACCGGAAACAACTACAAACGGTGATTCAGAACCCACAACGACAGTAGCAAGTGTTACTGAAAAAGAAACGGTTACAACAACAGCACAACCTGAAACAACAACCGTATCAAACCAACCGAAACCTGAGGGTGAAGGTAAATCAGAAGAACAGAGTTATAGAAATGAAATAACAAACAGCAAATTATTGGACATATTAGGATATAGTGTATAGTCAATATTGAATATAGTGGTAACCTGTAAATGTTTAATTTAACTTTTTAAAATATAACTACAATAATCACGTTTTTGTATGACTGTTTTTTTTTTAGTTTTGAGTACAGCTTATATAGTTACATATGTCTGTATTTTCGTAAAAATATATTTTTTTCAATTATATTGGTTTAAATGTTACTGAATTGTGTGTTTAATATTTTTCAGAAGTAAATTTTGGTACTTTTTTAATATCTTATCGTTGATATTGCTGTGATGTTATAAAATGTTTTGCAATATGAATCTTATCAATCAGGAATGTTTGAAATGTTCTTATGTATCACTTTACGTATTTTATTAACAATTGTTTTTTGTGTTTAAAATTAAATTTTAACAAAAAATAATGTTTTATTTAATCGTAAAAAGTATGTGATCTATCTTCTATCTATACATATAATTAAATTGGAGTGTCAATCTGTATTATCAAAAGAAAAATTTACGTGAAGATGATGTTTTTACGTTACTGATGACGAAAATCGCAATTTTTTTTTATCTGTCTGTCCGTAACCCGCTTTTGTTCCGGTTCATATCCGAATCGGCTGGGCCGATTTCGCCCTGACTATCACTGAAGGGTAGCTGACATAGACGGGCATATTATAGGTTACTTTTTTAGGAGTTGGTTCTTGTAAATAAAAAAAGTTAAAGATAATCATTTTCTCTTAACTAACGTTGAGTATGTTTTTGCAGATATATAGTAAGGAATTATCCGCAAAACGATAGTCGGCTAATGACTAAAGTTTTCATTGTTAGCAACTTTGTACATGCGAAATCACCATAGAAATTATGCTACTTGCTATAATCGATAGGTAATTATTAAATACCATAAAGTTTTCTTTTGTTTCTGACATTTTGATTTAATTAAAAAAATATAACGTTGTTATTGACATCATTTCCGGTGTACTAATGCATTGGTTTTTACCAATGGATATGGTTGTTGTATTGACTTTTACTATAACGTCCAGGTTGATAGCAATCATATTAATTAAATATTTTAAATGCGAAAGTTACAATGGATGGATGAATGTTTGTTAGCGTTTGTAGCCTAAACGGCTGAACGGATCTCCATGAAATTTGGCACAGGTTTAGAGCATAGTCTGGAAGAACACATAGGCTTTATATCACGGGAATAGTTACGGTTCCCGTGGGATTCATTAATTTAGTTTTTAATGTTTACTCGATCATTCTGCAACGGTTCAACATATCTTATTGAAATTTGGCACAGATGTAAAACAAAGTCTGGAGTACACATTCATCCCCGAGAAATATCCGGTTCCCGACGGATACGTAGCTTTTTGAGATTTATGTAGTTCGTATGTTTTCTAATACCACGCCGACGAAGTCGTGGGCAACAACTAGTGTGCAATATTTGCATATTTTACAAGTATAGTGCAACACCTTACTGATGGTTGTTTTGCATATCATTATTGTCCAGTCCAGTGAGCACAGTACATTTTAAAGTCAAAGTATTTGCCATACTATCAGCTGTAGATTACAATTTATTGACACTGTATTTATAACTTCGAAGATATGTACATGATTTATAAAAGGTTTTATATGTATCGACATTAGTATTTGGTTGTTCTAAAATGTAATAAATGTAACTATTAATTGATGTAATTAGGACTTGTCCCAACAAATTGTAAATTGTCTGATAACAATCCAACGTGTAAATGTGTTGGATATATCGGATTTTGTTACCTTATCTGCCAGTGACGTCATTCTTAAGCTATCTGAGCCTCTATCAGCCAGTGGTGGGACAGTCCCTTAATGTATGACTGATGTCAGAACAAATAACAATAGCCTTCATCTGAATTTATCAATGTTGTTTGAGTTCATTTCAAGGACTTTGAATATTTGATAACAAAATTAATAGATTATTTTAAAAGGGTAACTTGTATTTTACAAAAAAATTAGATGGATGGTTGTTTGTTTGTAGCTTAAACTGTCGAACAGATCTCGATGATATTTGGCACAGATGTACAGGGTAGTATGGAAGAACACCTTTTTTTTTCTCGCTGGGAAAACGCCTTTACGAATCCCCCAGTTGCCAGGGGGGTATGTGGGACTCGCCGGCCAAAAAAGAACAGACGTGGCCGGAATACCCACTAAAAACCCAGCGGTGTTCCTCCTGTCCGCCGATGGCTGGGTCACGGGAACACTCGCGCAATCTTCCGCGACCCAGCCAGCGCCGTCCGCGATAGATGGAAGAACACCTAAGCTAACTACTTTTTTTTTTAAATCTACGCGTAATGGTAGGCAAAAGCTAGTTTAATGTTAAAATCAATTTTCCGTGTTATTTTTTTTTATAATTACTATTATACTATTATAACTGTAGGTTACCATATTTTTTTACTTGTCTAAGTTATGTAAATAAATTGTTAAGAAACTGAAAGTATTAAATATCGTATAGGTTTTTTTTAAAGGTAAGGTGTTCAAAGCAAGTCATTAATCAAATAGCTTACAAGAGGGTACACAAATTTCGGTCGTTAGCCGTACCATATTGTAACACGGACAGCCCTAAAACGTTTACCTCTACTTCAAGTTGTAACTCGAGAACTTAAATCATTTTAAGCCTCACTTTATAAAAACAATGATTGTAAATTCATAGACAGGATTTTATAACCTTTCTTAAGAAAATATTTTTAGCCAGCGATTCCGTCCGCATAAAAAAAAAACAAACTAAAGGAGCCTATATGTTCTTCCAGA